CCAACTCACTGTCATCATCTTGAGTTAGAAACTGTGCAATACTTACCCCAAAATGACAAAAGTATATTTAAAAGAGAATTCATTTGTACATTGAATTTTTGCAGCTGAAAACACCAGCTGATCTACAACAGTAGGCTTATAAAGCTTACTTTAAAATAATAAAAAGGCAGATGCTTTGAGTCCAGAACAGGGGTGTCAAAACTTTTTCTCACAAAGGCCCACAGATCATCTGTTTCTCATTTTCATTTTTTTTAACTTCCAAAACAGATGGTATTATTATTTTCATTCTGAATTTCAGTTGCTGAATTGTTTAAAACTAAAAACAAAACAAACAAAAAAATCAGCACATCATGACCTCATATTTACCACGGCATGTTTTTTTTCTTTTTTTCCAGAATTAAAACATTCAAAGTGAAAAATTCAAACATTTGAACTTCAAAATCTGACAAAACAAATGATCTTCCATACACAAGCTGGGGGCTAAAAGAGGGCGTTGTTCAAATGTGGCTGTATTTTATCGCTTTGAATACAAAGAATACAATAAATTTTCTTTCAAGGTCCTTTATTGACACAAAAAACTAAGTAACTAACTAAGCTAAGCCATGTTATACTGTTGATTCCTCCTAAAAAACAGACCTGGAGCTGTGTTTTGTTTCATTCACACGTTTGAGTAACACTTTATTATTAGTGTGTAGTGTCTACATCTCCAAAGCTCAAAATGCATTGTGATGTCATGAAGGACTAGTTTTCAAGTTAACAGCTCCTTTTCCCTTTTGTTCAGTGGAGATGGGCAACTTCAGTCTCTACTGAAATGATCCAAAGGTTTCTAGTGAAGGTGTGCGGTGCTACAGAGTGTTTCTGTATGAGAGGAAACAGCCTAAATGTGCAGGTTTGTGTTTAAAACATGTGTGAAACAAAACACAAACACAAGTCCAGGTCTGTTTGTGATGAGGAAACCACATTGTGACATAGATCAGAAAATAGCATCATATGGCCTCTTTAATACACCCTCGATATCTGTGACTGTGTTAAAAATATCTTGTTTTGTTTTATTTCTGTCTGGGCGTGAGAGTGACTCATAAGCGACTTTGGAGATTTCGTGTTCTTTTTTTTCTTTTCTTTTTTCCATAAATGGGGAAGAATGGTGGAAGATGGCGCAAGGTTGTGTTGGTGAAGAAATCGTGTTGGAGGGACTTTCCTAAAAGCTGAAACATGAGGTCAAGATTTCGATTTCCCAGGGCAAAATGTTAATAAAAGATTAGAGAAATGTCCAATGTGGAGAATGTTATGGGACAATAATAAAGATGACTCATGTGTAAGTTATTAAGAGGGCGATACGATGTGTTTCTTAATCAGGAATCTATTTTTTCTACCTGGTTTATGGTTAAAGGTTCTATATTACACAAAATGGACTTTTGTGAACTTTTAGTCATGCTGCAATGCTGTGGCCTCCTCTAAAACAGACCTGGAGTTGTGTTTAGTTTCATTCACACATTTGAGTATTTTTTTATTATTAGTCTGTCTACATCTCCAAAACTCAATGTGCTCTGCTCCACCTTGTGATGTCATGTAGTGGTAAGAGATGTAATAATAACCAAAATGCCGTGATATGGTATCGTCAAAAGTCTCACAATAATATCCTGGGCCGTCACAATATCACAAATTACATGTTTCTCTGCTTAAATTCATTGTTATGGTGCAGCAATGGCTAAAAACATAAGGAACTGCATAGACCATGATTCTTTGCTCCATTTCAATCTGTCAAGGCATTTTGGAAGGAAAAAGTAGCATACTCACAGTTTTGTTAACCTCCAAAAAATATTGCAATAAATATCATGCTGTGAGATGGACATTGTGAAAATATCATACAGAGATTTGGATATTGTTACATTTCTAGTAGTGGTCGTTTTCAAGTTAACTTTTACCTTTTACCTTTCATTCAGTAGAGATTGGCAATGGCTGAAATGATCCACATGATTCTAGTGAAGGTGCGTGGAGTTTAAAAACACAGTGGAGCTCTTCTTGTGTTACCACATGACTTCACAAAGTGGAACAGTTTGCTTTCAGTGTTTGGAGAAAAGAGCTCAGCCTAAATGTGCAGGTTTGTGTGTTAAACGTGTGAATGAAACAAAACTCCTGATGTGTTTGTGACGAGGAAACGACATTCTAGCTTAGATCTGAAAATGGTGTAATATGGGCTCTTTAGTATTTCTGTAATTTCCAGGCCTGTCCACATGAAACAAAAACTGAAACAAAGCCTCTTAATCAGTATCAGTATCATAATCATTCTTTCATCATAGAAAGTGGAACCATTATCCAAATCCAAAACATGACATGATTGCTGTCAGTCATAAGGTACGGAAGCCGAGAGGGGTCACAACAAACACAAACGCCGCAACAAATACAAATGCGACAACACAACAAAAAGCCACAACACACCAAAAAAAGCCACAATGGAAATGACCACGAGACTCTATTTTCCAACTGACCAATCAAGCGGCAAGTGAAGAAGAACAACTACAACGTGAAAACTAAAGGAACGGAGAAAATGAGGATGTCGTTTCAATACTAGTTTTAGTGCCAAAAGAATCAATACTTTTGGCAACTCCAGCTTAGACAATTACAAAACTTTTACTTTTTTTCAGCCTAAATAAACGTTTGTCCAGTTGACAAACTGAATTTCTCCTTTGTCAAAACTTTCACTTTTCTTTTTTTTTTTTTTTTATGAGTAGTAGTAACACTAGTAGTAGTATTAGTAGCAGTAGTATCAGTACTAGTAGTAGTAGTAGTAGTAGTAGTATCAGTACTAGTAGCAGTAACATTAAGTAGAAGTTTATTCTGTTTTACTAGAACCAGTGTAGCAACAGTTGCAGCAGTAAATTCTTTAAAACTTCCTTTTCCTTCAGTATTTGTTTAATGAAGGAGTCACGTTTTCAGGAACAGGAACAGTAAGAAAATAAATACTACACATCTGAGTCAGTTTAAGTCTTTTTTTTTACTGCCTTAAAACATGAAAAACACAATAAAGTTGACTGTAAACAGTTTGCTGTGGTCCAAAGTTTTTTCTTCTCGTACCTTGTGTGTTCCTCATGACTCACAACACTCAGAGTAAACACAACAACAACAACCCGCACACTGACCAGCGAGGGAAGGTAATGAAGGAAAAGTAGTGAAGTACTTGAGAAACTGTTCAGCTATGTGTACTTAAGTACATTTTACGATGGATACGTTTTACTCATTTGAGAGCAGGTATCTGTACTTTTTACTCCACTACATTTTTGAACTGAACTGAAAAGTAAAAGTATTTTTCATTATTGTCTGAAAGCTGCTGAAAAAGTTGAGGGTTGATTTTTATCACATTCACAGTTTGAGCAAACAAAAAAATACAAATTAAAACAGCTACAAAACACAATCAATTCAGTTATCTCCACTGAAATCATTTCAGCACAAAGACTTCAAAATCTGTCTTTTTTTTTTTTTTTTTAACTATCTACTCTTTAAGTACATTTTAAAATCAGTACTTTGACACTTTTACTTGAGCAGATTTTTTGATTTGACAATTTTGCTTTAATGGAGTAATTTTTATGCTCCGGTGTCTGTTCTTTTACTTAAGTAATGAAATTGACTTCTTCTTCCACGCACTTTCTTATTCCCTGACAGTAAAACTTAGACTTAGACTTAAACTTTATTGATCCACAAGGGAAAAGACTTGGACACAGCAGCTCACACATCACAATATTATACAATAATACAGAGTTTTTTAAAAAAAGGTAACAAACTTCTAAATAAGTAACAATAAAAATAACAAGAGACTGGTATGAATGAGACCAGAGGTGGGACTTGTGAGTCGGGACTTGGAATCGAGTCCGACTTGAGTCACTGTTTTTAGGACTTGAGACTTGACTTGATAAAATGGACTAAGACTTGGGCCCTGACTTGGACTGAAGGGTCAGTGACTTGGGACTTGACTCAGACTTGAGGCCTGTGACTTGAGAAGACTTGATGCTTCTCTTAAAACAATCTGTGTTTTTAGAAAATACTTTTCTCTTTGCAGTTGTTAAATGCAGTGCTGAATTTTACAGGAACAAACTGAAACATGTCCCTCCCACTTCTGTTTGGTTCTTTGGATGGAACTATTGTACTGATGTGGTGCCCTCGAATGTATTATTATAATTATTCAAGTACAATGCAGTGCAATACAGTAATATACAGTACAATACAGTAAAAGAGAGGGAACTAGAGAACAGGATCATTCTATTTCAGTGGAGACACATGACAAACTGTTATTAAACACTTTTATCTGAATCTGAATTCTTTCGCTTCTGACCATAATGACTCACACTAAGATCTTGTCAAGACATTTAAAAAAGAAAAATCAGCATTTCTACAACTTTTATATAATACTCATATATACCATGATGACTTTTTAAGTACAATTTAGTTCAAAATTCATATAAGTTGCAAAAATCTAAGCTATACTTTGGTTTAAAGACTTAAAATGACTTGAAGCTCAAAGCAGATGATTTGGACCTGACTTGGACTTATGGGCCAGTGACTCGAGACTTGACTTGGACTTTCTTGTCTTTGACTTGAGACTTGGCTCAGACTTGAGGTCAAAGACTTGAGACTTGTAAAACAACGACTTGGTCCCAGCTCTAAATAAGCCATAAATGATATAAAAGTCTGTTCAGTGCGTCATATCAAAACAGTAGATGGTGTAAAACTGTGTGTAACTGGACACAGCAGATTTATTTTATGCTCAAGAGCTGCTTATACAATATACGAGGTTTAAATCTGCATGTCTGTTTGAACATCTGACAGTAAAAGTGCATTTAGTTCCTGTTTGTTTCTGTTTCTTTTCATTGGTGAAGTAGAAGCCGCAGAAGAGGAAGGAGCCGGGGACATGATGACACTGCACACTGCGTCAGCGCCGCTATAAAAACTCACCGCTCTCTCATCAAGCTTCACAAAGACTGAGCTGATTTAGACTTCTGGTCTGATCTGAAGCGGCTGAAATGGAGGCGGTGTACGTGAGACATGTGGAGATGCTGGGGTTCGAGGCGCCTGTTTCCAAGTCGTCACTATGTAAGAAAACATTCATTTGGCTCTTTAAAGGTGCACTGAGGAACTTTACCATCGCTTGTTTCCATGGAGTCTGATCAGATAAAAGACCCTTAGAGAGAAATGATCCATCCCAACAGATGGAGACGTTTGCAGATGTGGGGAGTACTTAGTTACATTTATTTGATTAATTTTTTAAGAAATGACACTTTTCAGAGTATTTTTGACTTGACAAAAGTTTTATGTGACAATATGAAATGATCTGAACATTTGTGTTTCTTGCAGCTCCTTCAGATATCATTTAATCTTTTACTTTATTTTAAGTATTGTCCTTCAAATTAACTTTAAATTATAAATCAGGTGTATAGAGTTACTCTTTTATTTACTCTCATTTGAGTAGTACTTTCCACAAATACTTTTTTATTCTTACTTGAGTAATTTCTTGGAGCAGTACTTTGTTCTTCTACTTGAGTAATATTATTTTGAAGTAATGTTACTGTTACTTGAGTAAAACTGGGCTACTCTGCCACGTCTGCAGGTTTGTCTTTGGCCAGACTTTAGACACATAAAATTGAGACGGAGCATGTTCATGTTTGAGTCATGTTTGTTTCTATTTATTATTGTTTCATGTGAAAAGTTCCACAGTCTTTGTCTTGGACTCATTCTTCACTCCTACATTCTTTCTTACAAACACATGTTCTTTTATTCTGAATGTTTTGTGTCTTTACTGTGAGAGGGCTTGCCTCTCCACAAACCTGACATATACTGACCCTGGAGAAGGTCCTCCTTTTGTTTGTTTCCATGGAAAGTTTGTTCCTTTGTCAATAATATTCCACAGTGAACCATCCAACATGTTCATCTCCATGGAGAATATTCTGGACTTTAGTTTTAACTTTCTACTTCATCTGAGTCATGCCGTTCACTTTTCACCCCCTGAAAGTTACATATTGTCACTTTAATGAAGGTGCACTGTATATAACCATGGGGATGTTCCACAGTGTGGCATTAAACTTTTCTATATTGCAGTCGTTCTTAATTTTTATTACTTTTAAACATGCAGTTTTCCTGAGAGCTGAGTCACTCCTGACCAGCGTGAAATACAAATAGATCAGTCCGGTGCCGTAGTGTGGAACATCTCTGCAAAGCCTCTCCTCTAGACCCTCCAGCAGAAAGGTTCCACAGTGCAGCTTTAATGACAGACTGTGATTATTGCAGGTGTTCAGGCTGATGGTGAAGTGGAGCGACGACTCAGAGAAGCTCATCTATCGAACGTACCCTGAGATCCACACTTTCCACGTGAGTCCTTCTTTAACTATCACCACTACTGTCACTACTACACAGTGTCTACTGAGGGTCCGTCTCCTGCTTGTTTCTATGGAGATGTGATTGCTCTGCTTGGAATATTCCGCAGTATGACATTAAACAACTCAAACAATTCAATTACAGGTGGTTTTAGAGCTCAAAAATACTTAGAAAAACAGACATTGTGACTGTGAGCAGGGTCGCCTCTCCACAGATCTGACCTGTAACTTGGTCTGGTTTGGTCTCCATGAAGACAGAAAGGAGGCAAACCTGCTCACAGTGAGAATGACTGTTTTTCTAGATATTTCTGAGCTACAAAACCACCTGTAACTGAATAAATGTAAAGTAGAGCTGTTTAATGTCACACTGTGGAACATTCCAGGCAGAGCAATGACGTATCCATAGAAACAAGCAAGTTACACCTTGAAACATCAAGCCAGAGTATGAGAGTAGAGTACGCAGGTGTTTGTGTGTGTGTGTGTGTGTTTGTGTGTGTGTGTGTGTGTGTTTGTGTGTGTGTGTGTTTGTGTGTGTGTGTTTGTGTATGTGTGTGAGTGTGTGTGTGTGTGAGATTTGTTGATTTGATTGTAAAATGTGACTGTAATTTAGTTTGAAATCCGTTGATTCTTTTTCTGTTCTTTTGGATTGTGGGTGGACAGTCCACTCCACAGTTTTGCCTGTAATAAATGAAATAGACTTGTTTTTATGATGACAGAAAACCCTGAAGGAGATGTTTCCCATTGAGGCGGGTCAGATCGAGAAGAGAGACAGGATCATCCCTTCTTTACCAGGTACACACCACAAACTCAGACACTCCACTGTTGTACAGTCTGCAGGACAGATGAGCTGCATCTTAAGACTGATCACATCATGGTCAGGGTTGGGAAGGTGACTTTTAAAATGTAATCCCCTACAGATTACAGATTACATACCCCAAAATGTAGTTTGTAACAGAGTCCATTAAATTACTTAAAGTGAGTAATGTAATCTGAATACTTTGGATTACTTGATTTGCTGTAGAGAAGCAAAGACGAGGAAATCATAAGATAAGATGTTTTGTCTGCTAAAAGAAAATAAAAAGCCCAAACTTTACTGAACCAAATTAAAAATATTATTGATAGAAGATGAGGAGACACGTCCACCCACCATGTTTTAGTCCTGGTTTTAGTCCTGGTTTAGTCCTGGTTTTAGTCCTGGTTTTAGTCCTGGTTTTAGTCCTGGTTTAGTCCTGGTTTTAGTCCTGGTTTTAGTCCTGGTTTAGTCCTGGTTTTAGTCCTGGTTTAGTCCTGGTTTAGTCCTGGTTTTAGTCCTGGTTTAGTCCTGGTTTAGTCCTGGTTTTAGTCCTAGTTTTAGTTCTGGTTTTAGTCCTGGTTTAGTCCAAAATGTGAAAACAGGAAAATAGCGCCATGTAATCCATTTATTTCAACAAAGTAACTGTAATCCAATTACCACTCATTAAAACAGTAACTGTAACTGAATACAGTTACTCATAATTTGTACTCTGATTACGCCGGTACATGTAATCTGTTACTCCCCAACACTGATCATGGTGTAGTGCAGGAGTCTCCAGCCTGTAGTTCAGGAGTTAGCAGTAGGTCACCAAGGGGTTTCTGAACTACATGTATTGTCCTGAATAAGTCAACTTTGATGAGTTAAAAGCTTATTACCATTAAAGAATCATTTCAATCCTAACTTTGTACACTAATAAATGAATAATGATTTATGTTTTATACAAATCTAACTGTATGACTTTTAAATATACATCATTACTTGTGACCGCTAAAAACAGTATCTCTCTAGTTTTCGTTTTGTAACGGTTGATCACTGGATGAAAGACGTCTGGTGTAGTGTCTCCACAGATATGACCTGTAACTGTCTAAAGACACAGCATACACAGAAATACACTGTGCGGGTCAGTTTGTCCCAGTTATTTTAAAACGAGGCAGAGTTTGTAAAAGAGTGAGCATAAATGGTCATAAATGTGATAAGGTACAAATTTGAATGTGCGAGAGAGTCTGGCACCTGCGTTATGACCCCAGTGCACTTCTCTTTTTCTAAAATCTAAAATCAGCAGTTTGCAGCAGGTGTCAGGGAAGTGGATATCCCCCAGACATCTGCATCAAACCCCTGATACAATAATGACAAGAATAAATTTCATTACTTTGAAATGTAGAAACTTTAGTTAGTTTAGTTAATGTTCAGCGGGATGGGATGACATGGGCATTTTCACACATCGCCATAGCAACACTGTAAAATACATCATGGTTATTATTTACATTTTTGATCATGATTACATGAAGAGTCATTGTGCGACGTGTCACATTATTCCATGATAATAATCACTTTGACATGAATGGGAAGTTTCTGGGTCACTCCCATTAGATTAGATTAGACAATAAAATGGGCACTTTCAAGCATCGCCATGGCAACGCAGTTAAAATTACAACATGGTTTATGTTGTGTCAAATTTTGTAACATTTTGAACAACATAAATTTTATTTTTATTTTTAATTGTATAATAATGTGAAGTAAAAGCGCGTGTGAGGCGGCGTGTGGATGTCAGCGCAGGTTTCACTCAAATCGATTTGCATTCATACTTCCTCTTTCAAACTCTATGTACTGCTTTTGGAAAAACAGAACTGAATTCTGCTGAACTTGTGCAATCAGGTTTCAAAATTCAAATGTGGAGAAACGGGTGGTTTGATCTGTGCAACCAACAGCACGTAGGCTGCTGCTGTCCTTGAGCAAGACACTTCATCCATTTGTCTGTGTAAACTGTTGTTTAAATCCGGTTTATCCAAACCATATCAGACCCTCCAAACCCTCCAAACCCTCCCAATATTCTTATCATTTCTCCTGTTTCTCTTGTTTCTCTAGACCTGGTTTGATTCTGGGTTAGTCCTAGTTTAATCCTTGTTTAATCCTGGTTTAGTTCTGGTTTAGTTCTGGTTCGGCCCGGTTGGTAATATTCTGATGTTTTAGTCTTTAATATGGGCTGAGTGTGGATAAACTCGCCTTTTATATTTTATTTGTCACAAACATCTACTACAGCTGTTGTTTTATAAATAAAGCTCAGATTTCACAGACGTACCAAAGCGTTAGACAGAGCAGTGCCGACAGTTAGCATCACAGTCCCAGGGAAGGTTGATGACATCAGTTCAAAGTATCAATAGAACTTTAAACTTGTACTTGAGTAAATGTTAGATAGACATGTTTTTACAGCTCCAAAATGCACTCAAAAACATGCTTTCTTAGTGTGAGCGGGCTCGCCTCTCCATAGATCTGACTTTTGGCATGATCTAGTGGCACCACCTGCTTCTGCTCCTTCTTCTTTACGACAAAGCTTAAAGATGAACTGTATAACTTTTCTAGTGGAGGGTTTGTCAAACACTTTTTTCCATGGAGATATTATTACTTTGTCTGGAATGTTCCACAATATGGCATTAAACTTTTCTATCTTCATGAAGATACAGGTCAGATCTGTGGAGAGGCGACCCCGCTCACAGTCAGAATGTTTTTTTGAGCTATAAAACTACAAAACTTGTGATTGAATAAATGTAAAGTCGAGCTGTTTAATGTCACACTGTGGAACATTCTAGGCAGAACAATGACATCTCCATGGAAACAAGCAGGTGACGGACCCGCAACCAAACAGTTACACAGTGCACCCACTACTAGAAAGGTTACACAGTGCACATAAGACAAACAGAACATGTACTGTGTGTAGTTGTGTGTGTAAGAGTTGTGTGTGTAAGAGTTGTGCGTGTAAGAGTGTGTGTGTGTGTGTGTGTGTGTGTGTGTGTAAGAGATGTGTGTGTAAGAGTTGTGTGTGTAAGAGATGTGTGTGTAAGAGTTGTGTGTGTAAGAGATGTGTGTGTAAGAGATGTGCGTGTGAGTGTGTGTGTGTGTGAGTGTGTGTAAGAGTTGTGCGTGTAAGAGTTGTGTGTGTGTGTGTGTGTAAGAGTTGTGTGTGTAAGAGTTGTGTGTGTGTGTGTAAGAGTTGTGTGTGTAAGAGTTGTGTGTGTAAGAGATGTGTGTGTAAGAGTTGTGCGTGTAAGAGTTGTGTGTGTGTGTGTAAGAGATGTGTGTGTAAGAGTTGTGCGTGTAAGAGTTGTGTGTGTGTGTGTGTGTGTGTGTGTAAGAGTTGTGTGTGTGTGTGTAGAGTTGTGTGTGTAAGAGATGTGTGTGAGTTGTGTGTGTAAGAGTTGTGTGTGTAAGAGTTGTGTGTGTAAGAGATGTGTGTGTAAGAGTTGTGTGTGTAAGAGTTGTGTGTGTGTGTGTAAGAGTTGTGTGTGTAAGAGATGTGTGTGTAAGAGTTGTGTGTGTAAGAGTTGTGTGTGTAAGAGTTGTGTGTGTAAGAGATGTGTGTGTAAGAGTTGTGTGTGTAAGAGTTGTGTGTGTGCAGCTCCTCGGTGGCTGGAGAGCGAGCGCTGGACTGAGTCGAAGAAGGGCACTCTGAGTGACTACTGCCAGGCTCTGCTGCGGCTGCCCCCTCACATCTCCCGCTGCAGCGCCCTCTGCAGCTTCTTCAGGGTACGAGCAGAGGACGAGAACCCCCAGGGCACCACCACGTAAGAGCACACACACACACACACACACACCCAACACCACTCACTGGAACACAACCAGTTTAGATCAGCGTGTTTCCTTTGACTGGTCTGAAAATCCTGTGTTCACATCACTTTACATTTAAATATCCAAACTACTGCACACTGCTCCAGGTTTGTGCGGTGGTGGACTGGGGATTTTTTTAAGTGGTGGGACGCCATTCATGACGTCATTGATGTGATGAACTCCGCCCAAGTACCTACCTGTAATAAAAAAAAAAATAAAAATAAATAAATCACTTTCAGTACAACCATAAAGGTGCCAGCCCAGTAAAAATCTGTAATATTTGATGTTTTTTTTTTTTTTTTTAATTCAAAATTATGTGGAATCATGATCACCGACTAAACCAGGACCAAACCAGAACTAAACCAAGACTAAACCAGGACTGAACCAGGACTAAACCAGGACTGAACCAGGACTAAACCAGGACTGAACCAGGACTTGAGAGCGAGAGAGCCTACGAACGTACCTCTTGGTGAATCCCGACGCTCAGTCCTTGTTGAGTTTTGGTTCAGTGCTGTCTTAGTTCTGGTCTAGTTTTGGTTCAGTCTTGGTTTAGTTCTGGTTCAGTCCTGTTTTAGTTCTGGTTTAGTCCTGGTTCAGTCCTGGTTCAGTCCTGTTTTAGTTCTGGTTTAGTCCTGGTTCAGTCCTGGTTCAGTCCTGGTTCAGGTCACTAGAGGACAGTAGTGCAGATGTTTTGTTTTCACTGTTGCCGGTTGCTCTGGTTTGACATTTAAGTTGTAGTTGTTTTATATTTGTTTTTGTTTTTTTTTTCATTTCATTTCATTTATTTCTTTGTTTGAGCCAGGTACAACAAAATTCAAAAACAATAACAAAAATAGTGATATATACATGACATATTTGGGACCTGGTGCTCAAAAGGAGGAGGATGAAGTTTAAAAAACTTATGGAGTCCTACCCCAACTGTTTTACATAATCACGTGGTTCACTTCTTTTTTTTTTTTTTTTTTTTTTTTTATCACGTTTGGAGCGCTTACCTGTCATTTGCAAAAAAATATACCCACATATATACAAAAACATATCCACATATACTTACATACATATGCAAGTACACACACTTGTACACACATATGTACATACAAACATACATATACACATCATAGATATCCAGTACATACACTCAATATAAATGTTTACACACATATGCATATCAGCATATACATACATGCAGAAACATATTTTCGTTTATAGTCGTACAAACTAATAATAATGTTAATCTAGGCAAAAAGTTTATTGTTCATGATCATATAAAATAAACAGCAATGAGAATGAAAAATTTAGGGATTTTTTGTTTTCGTTTATGATCGTACAAAATAAACAGTAATAAGAATGAAAAATTTAAGGATTTTTTTGTTTTCATTTATGGTCGTACAAACTAATAATATTACTGATGAAGGCACAAAAGTTTATCGATTATGATTGTACAAAACAAACAGTAATAAGAATAAAAAAATTTAAGAATTTTTGTTTTCATTTTTTTAAATCTTAAGTCGTGAGACGTTGTGGGTGGAGTCTTGTACAGGATCGTACTGCTAACCGTAAGTAGGCTTTGAATAGGGACCAGGAGAGATTGCTAGATGACTCGAACATGCCATGATGAAATCTCAAACCTCTTCAGGTGTGTTTTTGATGAAGGAACAACATTATAACATGGAAGAAAGCTCGAAAAACTTGATATTACATAACACCCATCTTTAATGTCACTTAGAATATAGATATGTTGTAATACTAAAATTGGTACAATAAATAATACACATTTTTCTTCCAGACTCAAGAGAAACGAGACAATTGAGTCCCAAGAGACGACCAGAGCCAACGCATCAGGTGAGAGACTGTGACCCCGTTTCCTCCCGTCCTTTGTCTTTGATTCAGTTGGTCTTTATTCGGCCGTCGTCTGCTCCACATAAACCTGATTCTGTGTCTCCTCAGAGATTTCAGGTCCTATTATTCTGGACACATATCGAGTGATCGCCGACTTCACCAAGACGTCCAAACACGAGATAAACCTTCACACCGGAGACCTGGTGGAGATCGTGGAGAAAAACCAAAACGGTGGGTCAGTGGAGGATTTGACCTTTTGAAGCGCAGAAGTTCAGTGGTCAGTTTGAACACAGCCTGACCTCTGCTCCTGCTGCTGTGTCCACGATGTGTGAGTGACCAGCCAACCCTGGACTCAAACATGTCCACCCATTTAAATGACCGAGTTGAGCTCTGTGGTATGTCCTGAGACTGTGCAGCTCTGAGCTTTGGTAGAGACTGAAGGGACAAGATGGCAGATACAGACCTCAAAGTCTCCTAGATGCCACAGAGAGATAAAGAGACACACACTTTATTCATGTTTTGTGTTGTGATGCTTCCTTGTACTAACTCTGGTGTGACTCAGGTTGGTGGTTCTGTCAGCTGGAGTCCAAACACGGCTGGGTCCCTGCGTCGTACCTGGAACCTTTAGACGGCCCCGAGGAAGAGGAGGAGCCAGAACCAGACTATGAAGGTACAGTGTGTTATTTTCTCTGTTGAATCTGAGTGAGCTGTGTGTTTGAGTCTGCTCCACTGACTGTAGAGCAGGGATCTCCAACCTTTTGTGTCCTCCAACCTTTACAAAATGAAAATGCCAGAGAGCTACTCATTTTAGTGGCTGCAAGAAATTGATTTGATATAAGACGGAAAACCTTAGATCAGGGGTGTCAAACATACGGCCCTCTAAGACCTTTAATGTGGCCCTTGACTGATTTTCTACTCAAACATTTTAATTATATGTTCTATTAAAATATTGGCAATTTTCTGCGGTGCTGAGCATAGCAGCGTCTCCAGCGTCTCTGTACGTGGCCCCTCCCACCAGAGCAGCACAAATGAAGACTTGTCTTTTTCCAAACGCTCTTAAAGGACGATTGTTTTGACTGTTGACCGTGACACCCTCATCAGAAAAATGTCCAACATGAGAAAAGTGGAGCCGAGCGCAGGATTTTATAACAAATATTGACTTATTCCTGTTTACATACAAGTTCATGTTAAAACATTGTGTTGAAATTGTATTTTTCTTCAAATTTCAGGTTGTTCATTATATTAAAATATTTTGTAAAAGAAAGAGTTCATCAATTAAAAAAGATTTCTGTAATAGATTTGTGTTTCTCTGCACAAATATTTGAACTTATTGTTATTTTTGGGGTTTATATGCCATGAGTTTTCTGATCCGGCCCCTTTGGGATCAAAGTCGGTTGGATACGACCCCCGGACCAAAATGAGTTTGACACTCCTGACTTAGATGTAGTTAGATGCCTATAAAACATTAAACCATTATCCATTTATTAGTGCACAAAGTTCAAAATAACACATTTACAGCTGTAATTAATCAAATTTGAGTTATTTAGTGCAATATGTATAATTCAGAAATCCCTTGGTGAGCTACTTGTAAAGTGTGGAGAGCTACTGGTAAACTCCCGAGCTTCAGGTTGGAAACCTCTGCTGTAGAGCGTGGAAACCCAACCCTGATGGGCTCAGTCGGACTCAGACAAATATTTAGAACTTATGTTAGGGCTCGGGTCGGACTCAGACACATCAGTGTGATAAGACATTTAAAATATAAAATTAAAAACAGCTTAAGGTTCCCACACACTACAGGATTTTTGGTCTTAAACGATTTTTAAACATGTGACAAAAAGCGCACATCACAGACACGAGGAGAATCTGACTTAATGGCTGCAGCTGGATCTGTCTGTGGACCACAGGCTGTAAAGTTGCATCAGCTGTTTCCTGTCGACAGTAAAATGATTCACTTTGAGGTGTTCAAAAGGTCAGAGCTCTGCACTTCTAGTTTAGATACAAGTCAACACTGTGTTGTTATTATTATTATTGGTGAAATGTGGTGCAAAACTTCAGATAAAACTTCAGATTTTAAAGCATAAAATATTGGAGATAAAGTGGTGGGGAAGTACAGTCACTGTCGCTAATCTGCAGCTTCACCTCGATCCCTGCGCTGACACATGTGAGGAACTACTCTCACCTTTTTACTTTTAAAGAGTGGTTTTGTGGACTGGGCTCATTATTTGTGGAGGTCAATTTCTATGGATAATGTTGATGAGATGCTGCACTTAAAACTTTCCACTTTACGAGAGGTCACAAGGTTACGAGAGTCTTCTCCTTATTTTTGCTTTATCTCAAGAAAAAAAAAAGGCCCAATCCACACTTTAATAGACTGTATATTTATATATAATAGGAAGTGAGCAGGGGCATGATTCAGTTCCATCTAATTCACTCCCTGTTGTAAAATAGTGGCTCCTCCCTCTGTGACTGAGCACACTGTGGCTGAACACTAAGACTGACGTCACACTCCTTCAGTCCACTTGTATTCAACACTAGTCTACGGTGTGTTTTTGTTTGTGTGTGCAGGAGAGCTGTACGTCACCACCAGAGCTTACAAAGCCGAGCAGGAGGACGAGATCTCCCTGGAGATTGGACAAACCATCGAAGTCATCCACAAACTGCTGGACGGGTGGTGGGTCGTCAGGTACGCCCCAAATGCTCAGGTCAAATAGAAAAACAAAGTCGTCAATCAAACGTAATATCTGCAACATGTTTCCACTAGTTTATAACTTTACTACAATCCCAACTGAAGCTGTGAGTCCAGTGTGTCCAACACTGAAGACTGGTGATGTAACGACGTCCAAGTCTCACGATACGATATCGTCACATATAAACCTCTCTGTTTGATATTTATTGCGATATCGTGGGGAGGCTCACAATTATGGATGTAACAATATCCAAATCTCTTAAGATATTTATGCAATATTTTCACAATTTAATCTCATGATACAATATTTGTTGTAATATTTTGTGGAGGCTAAAAAAACTGTTAACATGTTACTCCAAAGAACTAAAACTTAAAAGTGCTTAGAACTGTTGTTTCTTCTTGTAGTCTGCGCTGAAATGGAGCAAAGGATCATGGTCTATGTAGTTCCCTGTGTGTTTTTTTTAGCTATTGCTGCACCATAACTCTTAATTTTAGCAAAGAGACTTGTGATTTGATATATTGTGATGTCCACAATATTATTGTGAGAACTCTGACGATACGATATCACAATATTTTGGTTATTGTTACATCCCTACCCTACACATCATATAAATAGTCCTTTTGGGTTTAGTAAACACTGGTTTTCATCATACCATCTGGTAAGAAAATACTGTGTAAAATGTGAATAAATCGACATTATAACTTCATCAGTAAATCATCTCATATCTTGGATAGAGTTTTCCAAATTATACAAATTCAAACTAGAATTCAATACCAAGTGAACCCACTTTTTTGAGCTCAAACTATAAAACTAAAACTCAACCAGAATAATTGTCATTTACCATTTGGTCTTATAGTAGTTTTTATACATTCATCAGCTACTCATGGAATTCCAAACCAGGCCAAGTTACAGGCCAGATCTGTGGAGAGGCGACCCCGCTCACCGTCATGTCTGTTTTTATAGGTATTTTTGAGCTAAAACCACCTGTAATTGAATAAATGTAAGGTAAAGCTGTTTAATGTCATACTGTGGAACATTCCAGGCAGAGCAATGATAGTTCCATCAAAACCAGCAGGTAACGGATCCCCAACCAAAAACTTACATAGTTCACCTCGAAGTGTTTAGTGTTGTAGTACAGGTAACTTTGTTCTTTTGTGTCCTAATCTAAGGACACAAGGAAAATTCTACTTAGAATCCTTGAAATGATAAAACTAAACATTGTATTTTTTTGTGCAGAAACGAGGAGGAGACTGGACACTTCCCCTCCATGTTTTTACAGAAAGCTGGGAAAAAGGCTTCCACATGGCGAACCAACCCATATGGCACCAAACTACCTCCACGAAGGTACAATATTCTACCATTTTACAATTTTACAATTACAATTAAAGGGCCCATATGACGCCATTTTTAATCTAGGTTATAATGTTGTTTCCTCATCAAAAACATGCCTGAAGAGGTTTGAGAGTCATCCATGCATGTCTGAGTAATATAGTGATCTCTCTTGGGCCCTATTCATGGCTCCGCCCACAGCCTACGTCCCCCCCATGCTCCCACATGACCATTCTACAGAAATATACAAAAACATGATACAAAACTGAACACAGCAACTTGACAAACCTGATGTGATGTGCAGAAGTTTTATTAGCGAGATGCACGCTGATTTTGTTGTGATGGGGCTCTGAAGGGGGGGCGACTTAAAGTGGAGAGCAAAGGTTCAAAAGTTCAAAAACAAAACGGCAAATATAACAATTTCAGAAGAATAAAAGGTAACATGGTGATCTAAATTTCCATTAATATCTCGTAAAAGTAAAATACGCCCTCTTTAATGCCATACCATGGACATATAACATCTCCATGGAGACAAGAAAAGTTTCACAGCACACCTTTAAAACAGGCTGACGCTCCTTGTGTTTGGGTGCAGGTCCACCATTAGAAACGCCAAGAGCATCCACGGCCGCTCCAAGCCCAGCCTGTCCCAGGACGCCTACCGGAGGAACAGCCGAAAGTACCTCCAACAGAAGGGACTGTCGCCACGGAAACACTCACACGGTAGCGCCAAATCACCTCTGCGGGAGCGGACGCACCAAGGTAACCAAGGAAGAACCCACGTAACAGTGAGAGCAGAGCAGAGTTGTAACAGATGCTTGAGTCGTTCTAACTGAACTTAAAATGTTCATGTTATCGCACTCTACATCATCCTGCTGTTCTTATTCCACTTTTTTGATTGACAGCTTTGCTAAGAGCCAAACAGATAGAGAGCCAAGAATAAAAAGTTTGATAAGTGTTGTGTTTTGTTTTTTTTTCCCCAGACAACATCCCAGATTCCAGTTCAGATGCGGAGCAGAAGAAGGCAGCCCCAGCTCCGGTGATCCCTCCCAGACCCAGTGCGGAGCTGATCCTGGAGCGATGCACCGACAAAACCCGCAAACGACTCAGTCTCCACGGCGCCCCCACCGCCTCCGTCAGCTGAACTACACCCTCAAGAACCCACAGAACATACAACAGCATTCAGCATCCTTATGAACATCTGCGTATTTTAGTTTAAAATTACACAAAACTGCGCAGTTTGACATCACAACATACTATAGGCTATTTAAAGGTGCATTGTGGAACTTTTCTGGTGAAGGGCTCGTCTTACTTTTCTTCATGTTCTTGCTTTGTCTGGAATGTTCCACAGTATGGCATTGAACCTTTCTATCATCGTGGAGACTAAACTAGACCAAGATACAGGTCAGATCTGTGGAGAGTAACAAAAGTATGTATGTAGCTGTTCCTGTCCTGTTTATATTTGTTGTAACAAAGAATAAAGCTGCTTGTATTTCATTATATTATTTATCTCACCGAGGATTTGCAGATGGTTTAACAGCCCCGTCTGAGGTAAAACATTATCACAGGTTAGAATAAGAAACTAGTCTAAATTATTGTCATATTCAGTCAAAGTGTATATGACAGGTTTTCATGTTCATTATTATTTTGGTGAGCTTGTACCTTTGCTAAATATTGATCATAGTTTTACTTCAGTTAAAGGTGCATTGTGTAACTTTTCTGGTGGAGGGTCCGTCTGTTACGTTCCAGGCCATGCTCTGCCCCTTCCTGCTGCTCTCCTTTTCCTCCAGGTGATGACCTCTGCCTTTGTCATATGTCCATGTCCAACCAAGAAGTAAAACAATACATTTAATGTACTGTATAATGTTAACTTTGTTTGAGTAGCCTAATCTGTCATGTGCACAAAATTCACAAACTTGGAACTTGCTTCCGTGATATGATGAAGCATAAAACTAATGATAGTAAAACAATATATAAAGTATGATTAGAAAAAGTTAAAGGCATGCAAGAAAACTAAGGTGTACTATACCATACTGTTTATTTTGTATTTGTACTGACACCTTAATGCAAATACAAAATAAATAATAATAATAGTATTAAAAGGTCTCCATCTGCTGAAATAAACTGTGAGAATTATTTTGCAGATTATTCATACAGTAGGTTTAATATTATGAGTGACTCTGCAGTGCAGTTCAGTGATCTTAACACTACATTACTTGGTAGTGCCATCTAGTGGCAAAAAGACACATGCACATATTTGGAACGTGGATTTTATGATTTTATACATTATAATATAAATTGATCAAAATAGTTAATTTAAAAAAAAAACGAATATCGAAATAATTCTATTTTTTTATCATACAAATTAGTCGATTGCTTTTTTCTGCATGTTGATGTGTATTTATTATGAACTTGAGTTTGAAGCTTTCAGTGTAGTGGGGCATTTTTAGGTTTAAACTCTATATAATAGTGTCATGTTTTAAGTGTTAGTGTTGAAACTGCAACTACGAATGTGGTCTCCTCATGTGAAATGTGTGCGTGGCAAACGTGAAAAAACATCTTATTTAAGCGGCTTTCTTTCAACCTAGAATTACCATTTGAAATGACTTTTCAGTTATGTTGGTTCAAGAAGTTATGGAGAAAAATACAACATTTAACAAATTACAAATATAAAGGGAAAAAGAAAAGAGTTTGACCCCGACGTGATTTGAACACGCAACCTTCTGATCTGGAGTCAGACGCGCTACCGTTGCGCCACGAGGTCTTCTCGACACGGAAGCATTACATCGGTATAAATTGTTTCAGAAACAGACCTGCTGGTGTTTGTATGTAACTGTAGATGTAAATAACACAAATGCAAATCAAATAGCCACAATTATAATCGCTAAAAACAGCGCTATAAGAACATATTCGTTTATAGATGCAGTTTATGAAACGGGGCTAATTTATGAAGTTAGGAAATGGGTTAAGGTTTGTTAGGGTTTGATTAATTAGGAACCGTAAATGTTAGCTAACGTCTATGTTTTTTGTTATTTTTTATTTGTTGGTTTTTATCTTATCAATAAAATAACTATTGAAAAATGGCCTTACTACTACTATGATACATAATAATACATATAATACATAAGTTCATCACGGGGTCGCTATATGAAGTTGAATTTACACAGTGTACGTTTCATATTTACGTTTCCCTGGTGGTCTAGTGGTTAGGATTCGGCGCTCTCACCGCCGCGGCCCGGGTTCGATTCCCGGTCAGGGAACACATCTTTTTCCTGATCTATTGCTTTTTCTAATAATACTTCATAGGCTGGAAGCCAGGTCCACCCCTCAGGATGTTTTTTGCTACCTTTTTTTCACTATTATTTCCTGTTATATTATATCTTGGGCCATAACGAGTTGATAGGGACCAACCCCAGCTCGGCCCCGTTTGGTCTCAGGGCCCAAAAACACACTTTTTAAGAAAAGCTATTTGCGAAATTATGTAACTGTAAATATTAAGGTACTGAAACTGCATACATGGTCAAATAACCCTAAAATTTGGCATGGTGTATTCTGACACATGGGGGAAACTAGCAGAAAAATATTTTGGGGCTTGCTGCCTTTCTACTGTCAAATATCACCCTCAATATATCCTAAAAGACTAAAAAATGTCTGTCCGCCTGACGAATTGTCATCAAAAGTGATCATTTTCAAGCATTTTATTGCATATATCACTGCCTCAAATGTACATAAAAAACTGTTCATAAGCTTCAATTTAAGCCCAAGACGACCTTTGTATCTAGAGGGAAACACCTGCTATGACCAAAGTTCTTCACTGTACCTCAAATCGGCAGAAGGCAGAACTTTCAGGCTTCACCATTACTTATGGGAATAAGCAGGATTTTTTTAATAGAAACAATATTTGAAAAGAGTTGACTTATGTACTGCTGTACTATATGAAGTGAATTATACTAATTATATTATATTAATTACTTTAATAGTGAATAATATTAAAACTCAAGGTCAGAGTATAAGATAAAACTATGGTAACCAGGTTACACATACAAACACACACACAACCAACCAACATCCTGACCCTTCATGCAACATCCCATCAGAAGTTATTTTCCAAAGACAGTTGTGAGAGAAGCTGCTAATTTTTTTCTGGTTATAAGAAGAGACTGAGTCTATTGGGAGATTGGTGTCCTTTTCTAGGCATCCACTACTCCTAGACTGAACATTAACTATTGTCAGATTGTGAGCTAATAACCAACCAAAGTAGATGTGGGAGACAAAGTATGGTGTGTGTGCATGCGTGTGTGCCTGCGTGTGTGTGTGCGCAGATACAAGCACTCGAAAGATATAATATAATAGGAAATAAGAGTGAACAAAAGGTAGCAAAAAACATCCTGAGTGGTGGATCTGGCTCCTATCAGCTAAGACAAATATTGTTGATCCACATGAGAAATTCTTTGGACTCAGAAGGTCTCTCTCACCCTCATTCAGCTCAGGTCCTCTACCAGAGGCCAGAACTACCAGAGAGTCTGCGCAGTGTCTTTGCTGTCCCCAGTACTGCACTTTTCTGGACTGAGATGTCCGTTGTTTTTCCTGGTATCTGTTGTAGCCTCTTCCAGTTTTGTTGTTACAGCCCCGAATGCTCCAATCACCACAGGCTCCACTGATGCCTTCACTTTCCAGGCTCTCTCCAGCTCCTCCTTTTGAGCCTTGGTATTTCTCTAGTTTCTCATGTTCCTTTTTCCTGATATTACCATCGCTTGGTATTGCGATGTCCACCATCGGCTCTGCTCTGTTTCTTATCCACCACCACTATGTCTGTTTGGTCCATCACCATCCTGTCAGTCTGTATCTGGAAGTCCCACAGGATCTTGGCTCGGTTGTTCTCCACAACTTTAGAGGTGTTTCCCACCTTGATCCTGGGGTCTCCAGCCCGTACTCTGCACAGATGTTTCTGGTTTGGGATGGAACCCTCCACATGGTCAGGAGCTTTCGTGTCTTAACATCTGTGATCTGTATCTCCTCCTTTGGCCAGTGCATGATTCCCGCAGGGATTTGATCACTGACAGGGCGGAGCTGTTTATTGCCTCGGCCTTGTTCTTGCCATTGAGCTGCTTCTTAGGACTTGTCTCACTCTTTGCAGATATTTGGCCGTAGCCGCTTTCCTTGTTGCCTCTTCGAGGAGCCATTTGCTTGTGGGATACCAAGGTACTTGTAACTGTCCTCAACGTCTGCTATTGTTCCCTCTGGGAGTGAGACCCCCTCTGTGTGGACTACCTTCCCTCTCTTTGTCACCATCCTGCTACATTTCTCAAGCCTGAATGATATCCCAATGTCTGTACTGTAGATCCTTGTGGTGTGGATCAGTGAGTCGATGTCTCGCTCACTCTTAGTGTACAGCTTGATGTCATCCATGTAGAGGAGCTGACTGATGGTGGCCCCTTTCTGAGTCGGTATCCATAGCCAGTGCGGTCAATGATTTGGCTGAGGGGGTTCAGACAGGCAGAACAGCAGTGGGGACAGTGAGTCTCTTTGGTATATGCCACATTTGATGGACACTTGTGCAAGTGGCTTGCCATTAATATATATATGTGTGTGTGTGTGTGTGTGTGTGCATATATAATGTCAAAATAAAATAGAAAAATAAGAAAAAATATATAATCTTAAGCAGTGACATAATTATTGACAAGACATAGGGTTATCTGTAATAATAGTGAGTTGTTGTACAGTTGTAGGGAGTATTATCTGTTCCATAGAGGTGAGTTGTTGTACAGTTGTAGGGAGTATTATCTGTTACAAAAGGATGTGTTGTTGTACAGTTGTAGGGAGTATTATCTGTTACATAACGGTGACTTGTTGTACAGTTGTAGGGAGTATTATCTGTTCCATAGAGGTGAGTTGTTGTACAGTTGTAGGGAGTATTATCTGTTCCATAACGGTGACTTGTTGTACAGTTGTAGGGAGTATTATCTGTTACATAACGGTGACTTGTTGTACAGTTGTAGGGAGTATTATCTGTTCCATAGAGGTGAGTTGTTGTACAGTTGTAGGGAGTATTATCTGTTACAAAAGGATGTGTTGTTGTACAGTTGTAGGGAGTATTATCTGTTCCATAAGGGTGAGTTGTTGTACAGTTGTAGAGAGTATTATCTGTTCCATAGAGGTGAGCTGTTGTACAGTTGTAGGGAGTATTATAGTATGACTGTAGTCCTGTATCTCTGTGTTTGAGTGTATGTGTAGGAGTGTTTTGGAGAGTGAGCTCCTGTGTTCGTCTATAGTCTGGTGCAGTGGGGATTACATAACCAGAGCATGTTTTACTCGTTTACTTGTAGGATGTGATGATGACATATGGCCAGATGGTGTTTTCATTACATTGTACTTTCAAATGTTCAACCTCATTTCTTTTCTGTTCATGATTGGACCCAAGACCAACAACTAAAATCAGCATTTAAATAGTAATATGACCTGCCCCTTCCCTCTGTGTTAAATATTACTGACCAATAATGTTGTGATGTAATTTGAAACTCAGCAGTTGCTATTGTCTATTGCTTTTTGAAGACTTCATCCAAAAGGCTTAGAATAAATAATAATGTAATAATAAAAAAGATCTACATTTGTGATTTGTTAACTGTAAAAGCATGTGTCACTTGTATTTCTAGAAAGCATGCTGCAGCTCCCAGTCCGAGAGTAGATGAAATGAGATGAGGAGCACTTGGGCAGAGGTGTGCTGTGGAGCGCGGATAGCGTGCCTCTCCATCCGGACGTCTCTGCAGAGGTTACGTTACGTGTTCTCAAAGATGCTGCAGGAAGAAACCAAGTTATCATCATTCAGACGCCACGAGACCGGAAGTAGGCTCAGGGGCGCGTCACAATAATGTCCCGAGTCCGACTGAGTTCTCCCAAATTAAGGATAAAACGAATTCACACATAAACATTTTTTTCTGATTTGTTGCGGTCGTAAATCAGACATGGCATGAAAAAAAGCTCGCATAGGCTATTTAATAAATAAATAAATAAATAAATAAATAAAATTAAAATAGGTGTAAGCTACATATTAATAATCAATAATAATCAATTATAATAATATGAAACTAAATTTTGAAGTTCTCCAGCTTTTAAACCTACATTTTTGTTAAAAGAATTGTAACTGGTAACACCAGGACTACAGCAGGACTACACCAGGACTACAGCAGGACTACAGCAGGACTACAGCAGGACTACAGCAGGACTACCTAAATCAGGACAAAACCAGGATCAAATCATTTAACTGTAGACTATATTTTCTTTCCTTGAAAAAACAAAGTATCTGATGATCTATTCGAAACTCCCTAAAGCCCGGGTTTAGCCTCACTATTATTTGTATTTGATGTATGTTTGCATTTTCTGTTTGCTACTGTGATGAAATACGCTATTTTGCTTATTACTAATCACAACATTCAGTTATATTTAATACTGATGAGGGTGGCTGAAATGAATGTTATTAAAAAGCCGATTTTATTGTGATCGTTTGAGTCTAGTCAATAGGCTAACAGAAATAGAAATAGAAAAAAAAAAAAAAAAAAGAAATGGGTCAATCGTGAGTTATCCATTATTATTATTATTATATCCACGTGAGCATCTGAGCACAGACCTGACACCACCACATTCTCGAAACTGAAAAACACTCCAAGAACCTTTTGAATTTGCGCACTTTTATTTTGCGACAGATTTTGCGGAAGTCTCTTCTGAATTGACGCACTTCACCTCGGCTCGTGCAGAGAGAGAGCGCACCAGGTCCGCTACTTGCTCGGTGCGCATCGCGCTTCTCCAAATGCCAACGGAGCCCCGCTGCTCAGCCCGGGCCCCGGAGCTCCGACCCCACGAACCTCGCTCCGAGAAACATGTCGCCGAAGAGCCGCTGTGCTCCGGGCCGCCGTGATCGCACCGTCCGCGGTAAGAGCATCGCTCGGTCACCGGGAAAGGGACCTCACGGAAGACTCAGGGCCGTGCACCGAGCAGATCACAGACAGTAGGCGATGCTTAGTTCCTCGGGTTTTATTTCAGTGCAGGTTCAGTGCTCGTGTTTCTCTCACTGTGTCTGTCCGGTGTGTTGAGACGTGCTTCCTGCTGCTTTACACTTAGTCCTGCTTTATGCTTGAGGTTTAAAACGGTTTATCCACATTGATGGTGCAGCTCAGGTTTGGTCCTTTGGACCTGGTTTGTATTAGTCCTGGTTTTGTCCTGGATTAGTTTTAGTCCTATTTTCTTCTTCTTCTTTTAGGCTTAGAAGTGTTTAGTCTTGTGTAGACATGTGCAGCTGGCACAGTCCAGATTTAGTCCTACATTAGACCTGGTTTATTACAGGGTAACTATTTAATCCTGGTTTAGACCTGGTTTAGACCTGGTTTAGACCAGGTTTAGACCTGGTTTAGGATTGATAGAAGTCAGGGTGTCATGATATCACATTTTTTTAGTTACAGTTATTGAAAATGGAGAAATGTTATGATTACTGAGATTATTGAGAAATTCAGATTGTGTTTTTTATTATGTCATATAAACCAGTGGTTCCCCAAGGAAGGTCTTAGGAGTCAGAGGGGCCCCAAAGGTCGTTCACACAACACGCAAGAAAGAAACTCAAAAGTTTTAAATGAAATTGACATAAATTATTAGTTTATATTAGTATTAAGACCACAGGAATGTATTGCTTAAACATATAAATTAGGATTAGAGGGGCCTGTGTGCTCTGCAGGTGGACACAAGAGTTTATTTTCATAGAAAACATACATATCTTTGATATAATCACAAGTGAAATTATAGTCCTTAGTCTTTTATAGGCTAATTCAATGGTAATAATAATAATTATGACATTGTGCACAGCACACAGGTGCACTGAGGACACATGCTTTGTTTTTCCTATCTAAATACTTTCACTTTGAGATCACAGTGCACTTCAGATGTAGTCTCTGAAAACAAGTGTGTTTTGAGCCTCGTGGTCACTTGATTCTGAGGATTGGACGCCATATTTTTTATTTGGACAAACATGATGGATTAAGATGTAGGCCAAGTTGAAAAAGAGGAGGTACAATATTAACAAAGTACACTGTTTACTTTGTTTGTGCTTTGCTGCTTTTCACACTTCTGCAAGATTCACAACATTGATCCAGAGCAGACTGAACGAACTTCCTCAACAGAGGACCAAAGCAGAGAAGCACAGTGTGTGTGTGTGTGTGTGTGTGTGTGTGTGTATGGGTTTGTGTGGGTGTGTGAGTTTGTGTTTGCATGAGTTTGTGTGTGTATGAGTTTGTGTGTGTGAGTTTGTGTGCATGTGTTAGTGTGTGTGTGTGTGTGTGTGTGTGTGAGTTTGTGTGTGTGTGTGTGTTTATTTTCAGATCTTAAACTTTGTCTCAGCTCTAAATTAAAGCTGCCTTTTCATCGTTGGCTTTAGCTTCACTCTGCTCGGCTCTTCTCCGCTCTAGCTCCTCTCGCTCTGATTGGTCAGATGGTCACATGGTCAGATAGTCACATGGTACATGTGATCGTGCTTGTTGCGTGCGCTCGTGTGGGCAGCTCTACTGCACATGGTCGACGGGCGGGAGAACTACTGGACTTAGCTGCTAACAGATAATCTAGAGACATGTTTAGTCCTCGGGACTTGCTCCAGACAGAGACACAAGAAATGTGGCAAACAGACAAACCCTTCCTCTTTCAGTATTCTACACATTTCATTCACCTAAATGCAATAAATTGATTGGTTCCATAAACATTCATAAATGCACAGTAGCGGGAAGCTGAAACCCGTAGCCTTGTTCTTCATATTTTTGCCGCAGTATTTGATTTGTGTCGGGATATAGATGTAGAAGCTTCTGTAGATTCATACATAAGCTTTTTCATACTTCATTAATCCTTCTATGTAAATGTGACTTTAAGCCTTTAGTCCATAATCTGCAGGTCAGTGCTTCTCTAGCTGCACTGTGCTTCCACTGGTATCACTCAAGAGGAGACTTTTTCTTTCTGGTCTTCTTTTGGACCTGGTTTAGTCCGGGTGTAGTCCACGTTTAGACCTGCTTTAGTCCTGATATAATTGTAGTGTGTGTTCGGGCCTTGGTGGTATTTTGTTCTAGACCAGTGGTGCTCAATACGTCGATCGCGATCTACCAGTCGATCTCGATCTACCAGTCGATCTCCAAGGTCATGTGGGTAGATCGCCGTGTCTCGTCTCGGACTCGATCGTGTTTGGACTCGGTCTTGTCTCTCACTCGAGGTCTGACACTCAACAAGTGTGATCATATTTCATTCCGGCCGCTGCTGTTGGTAATAAACTTGTAGCGGGGTGCAGGAGCATGTGGGGCGTCTCAGTGCAGCCTGTGTGCTCATTTGAAACCCGCGGAGACTCTACGGCACATCACAAACACACACGCTCCCTATGCACGGCTCGTCTGCGACAGCGTGTGCCCTCGTGTACCAGCGTGCATCACAGGGCAGGTTCAACTTCCTAAACATCCTACCTGTCCATCTGCCTCACGTCAGCACGCCGCCCCTCGCCTTTTCACGCTCTCGCTCCTTCCTGCGTACAGCGAACACAAGCCCCTCCCACAGTGCGGCTGATTAGAAGAACAAGACCAAACGTGAAGCAAAAACCAGTCTAAATTTGTGTTCCAGTGTTGGCACAAAGCAGGTCTACAGCATAGAGCGGATCTACAGAACAGACCTACTGCCACATTTGGCTGAAGTTTGTCTAACAAAAGTGCACAAATGCATCTGTGTTTGTCACGATGTGTGTTTGGTTTGGTAAACGTGCAGAGGCTGGTAAATATCACTGCAGAACCAGAAAAGAATGTAACTCCAGTTTGGAACTTTAAAAAACAGGTTTAAAAATCTTCCTTCACTTTTTTTCACAGTTTTGTGTAAAGTGCCAGAGGAAGTTCTCTTAAAGAAGAGGTTCTCAAACTGTGGGGGAGGGTCCAAAAAAGGGGCACTTTGTATTAGGTAGATCATTTTGACTTGGTCATTTTGTAAGTAGCTCGCATGCTGAAAAAGTGTGAGCACCGCTGTGACACACTGTCACATGACTTCCTGGAGGGACTCCCTAAATACTCGGCTGCCTTAGTGTCCCGTGTCAATCAAACTAATACTGCTGTGAGTGCATTTCATAATCCCCACATAATTACATCAAATATTAAGTTTCAATACTGATAGTATTTCTGTGATCTGTTGAATACAGTGAACTAATACTTTTATTTATCATTTTCTTTTGTCTAAAAAAAAGCTAACTCAACCTTACCTGTTCCTAAACATGCTCCTGGTCCTAATCATAACCCAAACCCTAAACCCAAACCCGAAAACCAAACCTGAAACCGTAACCCTCTAACCCTACCCTAACTCTAACCTGATAAAAACTATATATTTCATCCATTGAGCCTGTTTTTTCTCCTCAGCTAAACTCAAAGTGATCTCAAACTCTGAGTGGTTGAACTCTGCTTTAAACCTAAGACTTTGAAGAAGTGGACTGAGGGAGTGAGGTGTCACCCACAGTGTTCAGCTCCAGTCAAATGATGCTCATCAAGGGTAGCCGTAAAATGAGGTGAATTTGGAGCTGAGTTCCATATTGGGAAATCCGAACAGAGGGAGGGAGGCAACGTTTTTTCAATAGGAAGTGAACAGGAGCCGATGGAGCTGAAAACGCTCTCATGCTTCTTTCCTTTTTGAACCACCGGGCCTAGCAGGTTAACACAGACTATGCCCCACATCTACTTTTCTGAAACTCAGAGTTGATTCTGTCTGAGTGTGATAACTCTGAGACAGGAAATAATCTACAGATTCACCGCATCATTGGCAGAAATGACAAAACATGCTCTTCTCTGAACTCTTTCGTCTTTAGTCTTGTCTTTATGATGGGAGTGCATTGTTTAAGGGTGCTGCTATTCATGAATTATAGATTTTGCAACAGACAAAACTCAAGAAAGTTTGATGAGCAAATGCGATTGTCAAGTGGCCCACATCAGTCTGCTGAGTAAGCTCGTACAGTTCATTTGACACATTTTTAGGCTGTAGTTTTAAATTCTGATTTGGTTTGGAAAAGTACAAAAATACAGGAAGTAGTGGTGAGTCATCATCACTTTCAATCCTCATCCTCGTGTGTTTCAGGCTTTGGCAACAGTCTTCCATCACCATAGCAACAACACAATAAAAAAAAAAAGCTATATATTTTTGAACGGAGGCCAGTCGCTGCAAATCAGGACTTCAAATCAGAAAGGAACGATCAGCCCCCAGCCTTTTACATATCAACATTTGAGCTAAAATACACTGGGTAGGAGGGAGACACTGTGAGACTGTCATGACATTTGAGAATTAGAAAAGAGCAGCTTTGGCTTGAAGAAGTTTTTTTGTTTATGTATTTATTGAAGTTGATAGTTTTTATGGCGTTATTGCAGAGCCTTTTGGAACTAGAGCTTCTCGAGAGGAAATAATCAACAAATCATCATAATCAAGAAATTAAAAACAATTAAAATTTAAGAAAGCAGCACTTTTTTTTCCCTTGAGTCATTCTTTGAACCACTACTTTGTACTTCTACTTGGGTAATATTATTTTGATGTAACGCTACTCTTACTTGAGTACAAACTTTGGCTACTCTGCAGTTCTGCCTCTGCTCATGTGTGCTCATTCTTGTGTCAGTTTTATCTTGCAAGACCTTGTCCCACCTCTACACTATGAGAATATCCTTTTTATGACACTATTTGACTCCATGTAAAAGTCCTGGTTGACTGGAGCAGTTTTCTCACATGCTGGAACAGGCTGTGGATTGTGCCGTGAGGCTCAGACCTGCACAAACACAAACTCCCAAAAACATCTTTTCTAATATTGTAAACTTCATGATTCTGACAGGACCACAGGGAAGAGACCTGTGGTTTTACAAAGGGCAAGGAAATCACAGAGATGACTGGGAATCACAGAGATGACTGGGAATCACAGAGATGACTGGGAATCACAGAGATGACTGGGAATCACAGAGATGACTGGGAATCACAGGGAATCACGGGGAATTACAGGGAATCACAGCAGTCAGTGGGAATCACAGGGAATTACTGGGAATCATAGAGATCACTAGGACTCACAGGGTGTCACAGGGAATCACTGGGAAACAGATGATCACGGGAATCAGGGAATCACAGGGAGTCAGCAGGAATACAGTGCACTTCACTGTAAGCGCCATTTCATAAGGTTTACGTATTTGCATAAATAATTAGCAATTCATAATAATTCATTTGTATCTTTGTTGAAAAAGCAATGTAAAATGTTGAAATACATGATTTTATATATTTGTATTATTTAAACGAAAGAAATTTGATACATGATGTGTACATTTGGAGGCGCTGTCGTTCTTGAACTTCATTGAAAATAAAGAAAAAGACGCTGGAGCAACACGGTCGTTTTACCGCGCTCCAACGACATCCAGTTGTAAACGTATAAGACGGGTTCATCTTTCTTTTGTGGAGAGGTTAAATTAGTATTGAAAGAGAAAACAAAGACTAAGATTAGCCTCTCCATTCTCAAAGCTCATGAGATGTGCTGAGAGAGGAGCTAAGGGCTGCGGTTTGACTGCGGTTTGACTACATGAGGAAGTTGCACCATCTCATGTCTTGTTTTTTACAAAGTTCATTAGTTTTGATGTAGTTCAAGGTTTAGCAGCTGCAGTGTAGCAGTCGAGTTACAGCCTCGTGAGAGCGAGTGTTGATACTAGAGCTTCAAGATGAATCGAGATCAAATTGAAATTGCATTTGAAAGGACACAGAGAACAAATCATAAAAACTGTCATTTTTGACAAATCATTATTTCTTACACATCTTTTTATCAAAAACCTTATGTAGTTTTATATATTTGGAGAAGTGTATGATTTTCCTTCCTGTTTGAGCACGTGCAGCAGATGTGACATGCATAGAAGTAATTCCATAACTATCTAGCAACCATAATGTAAACAAGGGTCAAAAATCATCTGAATTACACAACAGTTATGATTAGACTCATAAAAATAAATGACATCATCTTTATTTTGTTAAATGGAGAGCTGCATTGTGGAGCTGCGTAAAGTTGGCTCCTCTTCAAACACAAACCTACACAAAAACTATGTCCATCGTTTGTGTTTCGTTTGTGCTGCAAAAAGTCTGGTTTGTGTGATTCTGGTTTTTAAGGTTTTTAGTAACAGTTTTATTTTGGGCCGATGACATCCAGCCACTCAGAATGTTAAATAACTGACGGCAGCAGCTTTAACAAAACTCCACAAAACTAGTGAAGAGAGAAAGAGAAAAGTCTTTATTAGTCTTTAGTAACTTTTGATTCTCATTTTATATAATAATACAGACTTTTCTATAGCCTGAGCCTGAGAGTTTTGCACAAATTTTAAAATATACTTATACTACAAATGAAAACAGTCACAGCACAAAACAGCACAACCTAAACACAAATATTTTGTATAATGTTCTGTTGTTTTGAGGGGCTGGATGATGTCATCTGCCAAAAATAAAACTGCTAATATCTTAAAAAACATAACAGCACAAACCAGACTTTTTGTAGCACAGAACAGCACAAAGGAAGCTCAAACGACTGACACCATTCTGTGGCATTTTAGAGCATTTTGAAGCTTCCTAGGGTTTGACTGACCCTAATTTGACCTATAAAAGAATCGTTAATATCTCCAAAACTAAAACAGCAGCTCAAACAGAGCACAAACAATAAAGAGTTATTGTGTAGGTTTGTGTTTGATGGGGGCCAATTTCATGCAGGTGCCTTTTAGATGGAGTTTTCTGTGTTGGTGACAGAGGGATTCTGTTTTAGAACTCAGTGCTACTTCACGTATTTTTTGGACTTTTCTTATCAACTCTTATTATACTTTATTTTGATACTGAGTAATAATCTCGACTTGATAATACAGATTTCGATACCACAGTGATAATAAACACTTACACTTTATTTAGACAATAGAATGTGATGTTGAACCTTAAATCATAGTAGTTTCTTTCATATTATTCAGTAATTTCATGTAGAGTGGTGCAGTAGTTTCATGTTGGTCCATGTGTGTACTAGTCCATGTGCTCTGACACTTGTTCTGATCCAGCTCAACGTCATTCTAAAGACATTCAGGAAAGATTCAAATGAGTATCTAGTTTTGATACTAGTTTTCTTATGGACTACTGATTTTCAACATTTTTGATAAGCTTACTTCACTGATTGACCACAGGTACTTTCCTACCAAACCAAGTCAGAATTAGAACATGAAAGTCCCTCTTTGACCTGATCACTGTTTTTTCATCTTGTTGACCTCATGTTTTATTTTTGTCTGTCACAGAGGAGATGAGGCTAGTCCTGCCGCCAAACCGTCTCTAAGCAACAGCAGCATCAGCAGTCATCGCCGCGGCAACGCTATGGGCTACAAGGTGAGAGCAAAACTCAGACCAACCACAGGTACAGTATCATTTGATCATCTCCGGATCATTCTAGACACTAGAACAAGACAAGAGTCTGATAGTTTAAAGGTCCTGCACATGATTTCTCTCTTGTATCAGAGTCAAATGTGTCTTGTCCCA